CGCTAATTATAGTAAAAAAAATAATTATTTAGTGTTATTAAACATTTTAATTTGTTTATTTACCTTTCCTGGTAATCCACCGTGCAAAATGCTTCCGCCATTTTTTTCAACATTGTGGAGAGCACGTGGACGAACAACACAAAGAAATTGGTGTAAAATAAAAGTTTTATTGTCGTTTTGTGCAATTATACAAGATTCTCAGTGATCCCAACTTTAATATATACAATTCGTGTAACATATACTTATATCTGAATTAGAGAGAGTGCAACGGTACTTCGCGACAATTTAAAACCTTACTTAACCTAACTTAATCTAACTTATATACTAAATAAAGAAGTAGAAGGAAAGAAAAATATTAAGATTAAGAACAAAAAAAAAGATAAGAGAAGACTGCTGGTGGGGTACCCATGTTTCCTTCCTTTCTTCAGAGTTCGCTAACGTTGATGAAAAGAAAACTTTCGTGATTTTCCTTCCTTTCCTTTATGTCTCGCTCTATCTGTCCCCGAATCACACCGTCCTCCTTTGTTCCGGTGACCAGGATCTCCTCTCCTCGTCTGTCTTCCACAACGCTAGCTCCAAAGTCCTCCCTCCCTTTCTCTCACTTGCCTCGGGGCCTACTTCCACACCTTTGTTTTTCGTTGTATTTCTCAGAAATGTTTTACCACCAGCAGGCAATAAGGACCGTTAGAAAGTTCGAGAAAGTGTTAGACAAAAGATTGAGGAAACTTAATCTTAGGCTTAATACAAAATACAAAATAAAAAAAAAACAACCGGTGTATCACCACATTATTTCCCGTGAGTCAATGCGTGATGTTCATTGAGTCACATGATGTTATGAACGGGTGCCTCAACGATTTTTACTTGGATTTGAAATGTGTAACATGTACTTCTGCTACCCGTACACGTTTAATGTTTGAACTTGTGCCTCAACCTTTCTATTATAATATTTAATAATATATTTCTGTTACATACTGTGAAAATTGTTCATTCTGTCCATTATATTCATTAGAAGGTGCATTTGAGGAGGTCATCTACACCAGCACCACTTCTAGTTTTTTCATATATAATTTTTTTTTTCTTTCCTGTAGGTATCTACAAGATTCTTCCATTTCTTCTTTACTTCTTCAACTTCAAAATAATAACAGAAAAACAAAATTCCATGTTAAAATATTTATAAATAATAATCAATTAAAATTAACAGCATTGTTTCTTAATAAAATACAATTAAACTCTTACAAGACATTCATTCAATATACAGTGGTATTTTGCCATTCTGTACTTGAATGGGTATTTTTTGTTTTTAATGATTTATGTATGTTAGGTTTGTAAACTTGTTGTTAAATTTGTCTTAAATTCTACTTAAAAGGTTTTTATAAATGTATTCTTGGGGACTGTAGCTGATTAATTTAATTTACATTTAATAATTACAAAAAACCACCCCTCAATGTTTCACTATCATGTGTTAAATATTTTTAGAATGTTTTGGTATTTAAATCTTTTTCTCATAACATTAACTATGAATTGAGTCGTTTGCTAAGTTAAATAACTTAGCAAATTTTATATGTTTATAACCCAAATGATTTAGGTTATTAATGAGAAATAATATACAAATGCACGTGCTTCAAATTTGATTGTTCATTTTATACCGAATAGTTTATGGTAGGCTTAACTACAAGTACAAACAAATTTTACTCACCTGTCAAATTAAGACACTCCGCAATCAACTTCCACTGATTTTCCTTCAAATCAACGTCTTTGTATCTCCGATCCATTTTTGTATATAAAAATGGAGCATCTTCCATTTCTTCTAAAAGTTGTTCTACATTTACTTTACACCGAGAAGAAGCTTGTGTCGCCATGTTGAAAACAACAAGAACCACGTGACAACTAGAGGGAATCTGATTGGTGGCGAAACTTTTTCGCTAGCGAAAAAGCTCGACAGTTCCGAACTTCAAAGCGATTCGCAAAATGGTAAAATTTGCCAGAAACGACGTCATGTCTGACGTGTTATTCGCTCTGTTTTTCGCATTCGCTAGCGAATAGCGTCCAGTGTGAACTAAGCTTTAATCCTAACCATCTCCCTTCAGTGGGGTTGAATTTCGACATGTATATTATATAAAAACACCTGCGTATTCGAATGCAGCATTGTGTCAAAATTTCAAAGGAATCGGTAGGAACAAACGAACATTACATTTTTATTTATATAAATAGAAGATGATCTGTTTTAGTTCATTTTCACAGAAAAGCATAATGTTTCACAGAAAAGCAAACTTAGGGCGTCGTACTCGTAGCGCCATCTGTTGGACATAAAAGCCTTAACCTAGATTATACAGTAGAGCGTCGTTTATCCGAATCAATTGGGGACTGGGGTGGTTCGGATAACGAATCATGTACGAAAAAATATATAAATTTATCCCATGTTGAAATTTCTTTCTGTTGCGTGTCACTTTGCGTTGAATTTTCGTCTATGTTAAGCCTAACGAAGACTATTGTATCGTTAAAAATTATTTTTTTATTTTGTAAAAACAAAATAAATATATTGAAAAATATAAATACAATAAAAAAATATACTTCAGATGTTAATTTAGTATCAAAAACGTAAAATATTTGAGTAACCCAAGAAATAGCCGAAGATTGCAGCGCCACAGCACTAACGAAAATTTAAATTTAAATTTGCCGACTCGAATGCTTTCGGATAACCAGCTTTCGGATAAACGACGCTCTACTGTATCTTTTCATTTAATTTATATGAATGTTTAACGGAATAATATACAGCCTATGTCCACCCTGAAGTTCCACTCTAAATATTGGTGAAAGAATTTTTGAAATCGGATGAGTAGTTTCGGAGATTACCTGCTGCATACAAACATTACCTTTTTGTAATATTAGTATAGATATATATACTGTTAACTTGTTTGAATGGATAAATAAAAATATTAAGTGCAATAACGTCGGCACTATTAACAACCATATTTCTGTTGTTTCTTCACACTTTATCACAATAATATAGAAATGACTTTGTATTTTTGTAGATCAAGCTTGTATGAAACGCTTAAATAATTAAAGTATTTATATTATCTGAACGGTTAAAATAGATATCTTATATCAAAATCGAGATGGGTTGATGATGATAATAAAATGATTCATTAGTATTTTTATCGGATCATTGTAAAGTCCGATAAGAATTTGAATGTATCACTTTATTAATACGGTTTACAAATATGCTAGGAATTTACTGAAGTAATATACTTTTGTTACACGTACTGTACAGAGCTGTTCAGGTAAATCCTTCGACTCCACAGCCCTGATTACATGTCAAAGGACACAACAGATTGGCTGTCATTATTTTTCTAAGGAATTGTTTTAGAATCAGAAATTTTAGCTACTTACAAGAATTTCCAAAAATGTGATCTATCCTCATTATTTATCATTGTCTATCATAAAAAACAAATATTCAACATCTGTAGTGCTTTGCATATTTTAAAGATGCCCAGTGTCTTATCTAAGCATCAAGTCGTGAAATAAAAAATAAGCAAAAGAAGACAAGAAAATTCAAATTAACACACAGAGAGAATATTGTTAAAAATGTGTTAATTAGTGAAATTCGTTTTTCTAGGTACAGTATTTAATATTTCGGATCTCTTTTAGTGCATTATTTTTTAAAGATATTAAAGACATAGACTAATTATTCTGGTCTGTTGCTAGAAGGTGCATTTGAGGAGGTCATCTACTCAAACAAAAGACGAATCGATGAGATTTGAAAATCGCGTAACTCTGGGTTTGCGTAAGTCGAGGTATTATTGTACAGCAAAAAACATTTAATAATATACAGAAACATTACACTAAGGCCACATTTTTTTTAACTTTGGACGTATTTATATTAACTCTAAGAGTTCCGTAATTACATACATATTTTAATTAATTCCGTATTAGATTCCGTAATTACATACATATTTTAATTAATCTAATTATTCAACTTAAATCATTTAACTTTAGCAAACTTTGGCAAACTTTAGCTACTTTTAAATCAATTAAACGAAGGAAGATAATCAGAAGACCGACTGCTAGAATTAGTTAATTTAGTAACCAGAATTCTGTTCATATTTAAATATTAATATGCAATAAACAAGATTCATTTTATAATACAGTGATAGGTGGGACCGAGCAATAACCACTTAAGTGGCATTTGCACAAGTCAGAGTATAATTTTGCAATTTATGGAAAATCCAAGTCGGATGTATGTAAGCTAGTAAATGTTCTCATTAATCTTATCTTGTCTTTTGATTCATTCACGGTTACAAGAAATAACCACATAAGATTCTCTCGAGTTTCCGTAGATATAACAAACACAGAAATAGCTACAATTTATTTTGTGTTATTTATGTGTCGATTCCACGCGACACGTTTGAACATGTAAGCCGAACAATAGTGTGGGGGGGAGTGAGTAATCCAGAGTTGCATGGTGCTCAAACAAAAGACGAATCAATGAGAAAATCGCGTAACTCTGGGTTTGCGTAAGTCAAGGTATTATTGTACAGCAAAAAACATTTAATAATATACAGAAACATTACACTAAGGCCACATTTTTTTTTAACTTTGGACGTATTTATATTAACTCTAAGAGTTCGTAGATGACGTGGATAAATAAGTCTTTTGTTTATGTAATCTTTATATATTTACGATAAAATAGTTAGTTAATGTGATATTGGAGGAAGTTAGTAACAGTTTTTACTGAAAATTATTAAAGTTACTATTTTAAATGTTTTTTTCTATTTTATAATAAACTATATATTTTAATATCACATTAAATTTAATAAATTCTGGTTCCGTAATTACATACATATTTTAATTAATCTAATTATTCAACTTAAATCATTTATTAGCGTCAGCGTCCCTAGCGCTTATCTCGGAACGTGAAGATTGACTGATGGTGTTGTGGTGTTACTCTGGAAGAAGAAACAAGATCTATTGTGAACGATTTTATATTGTACCGATTGCAGATGAATGTTTACAAATGGAGGTCGCCAACAGCTACTCTGAATGAAGTGAACAGGGCAATCAGATCGCTCGGAAACAAAATCAAAACTGAATATCGAGTCAGAATTTTGGAAGCGCCTGCCAATCTGAATGTACATTTTGCTTGTGTCACTTTCTTGGAAGTTGTCAGCGAATTATTCAACGATGGAATTAATTGGTTTAAAATCGTAGCATTATTTGTGATCACTAGTGACATGGCTCTCATTTGTTACAGAATAAACAATCCTGAACTGGTCAAGCACATCGCAGAATCGTTGAGCTGGTATATTGAAACTAAATTACTAATATGGGTTCGAAACAATGATAATTGGAATGGTCTGGTGGCTTTCCAGGAAGACATATGACTTATAAATATTTCATGTGAAATATTTCTGCTCACACCATGGCATTATTTTTTCTGAATTAAAAATCTTTTTGATGTGTGAATTGTAAACATTTAAAACACAAAATATTTTAAAAATGATTTTAAGTAAAAATATGTAATATTTTTTGTAATTTTCTTTAAGAAGGAAGAAAAATTTTATTAAATGTATAATTTCAGTTCTAGTGAACCAAGAGATAAACTTTATCACAAATTTTAAAACGTTTTTTTACTGAATTTAAAGTAATTTGTAATTTTCAGATTTGTTTAATTAATTAGAATAAGTAAAATCATGTAAAAATTTCAAGATTTTTGAACATATTTTTCTTATATATTACTTCAAAAATGTTTATTTCTGTAGAAGTATGCCAGAACAACTGAATCGGTCAATTCTAAGAGAAACAATCGAATCAAATAATTGGCTTTTTACAACTGATTTCTTCTCAGCACTAGTACGATCCAGAGACAATAGTTCGTAGAAAAAGAATTAGGACATTAACCGCGGGTCATTTCACATTTCGGGAGATTTTCTTGCTTTTAACGAATTTGACCTTTTTTCATTCCATTATCTCGCTGACCAATTCTGTTGTGAAATTAAATAAAATTAATTATAAAGTAGAGTTTAAATGCATAAATAAATAAATAAATATATATTTATTCATTTATTTATTTCAGAGTAGTAGTTTTCCAATTGCTTTTGCGTAAATAAATAAATATATATATATATTTATTATATATTTAATATATATTATATTTTTGCACATCTTTCCAATTAACTTATTGTTTTAACATAACGTAATGAAAATGTTCAATATCATTGTAATGTCCCAGCAAAGAATGTCCGTTGTTCACACACAAAGCCCCAGGGGCGGACTGGCCATGTGGAAAATGTGGAAAATTCCACATGGGCCGTATACAATTTGGGCCGTTTTTTTCTAAATATGTACATAACGTACCGTTTGGTTAAGTTTAATTTNATTAACTTATATACAATAATTCTTATGAATTAAAGATCCTAATCGTCACCTCAATATACTAGGAACCTATTTCCTCAACTCTCAAGACTTTCTCTATTCGTCGATCCACAAATAGAATAACTTCAAAATCGCCTTGGAACTATTTGATCCTATCGGACACCTCTCTCGTTTACTTTTACTTTTAATTAAAGTTTATTAATGACAAAAACATATACATGATATCAGATGTACTGATGTGGATCCATACAGAAGTAGCACCTTTGACATAATACACAAGAGACCGTTATACCCATATGGATTAAATATTTACATATATATACAGAGGTTAAAACATTTACATAACATTTCAACAGTAACATTCCAAAGTGTGTACAACAGGTTCTGCTATAGAGCAGAAGATGCCCGAGTAATACAGATTTAGTTTCAAGGGTAGATACCCTATATACATATAATTAGCTGAGATTTGCGACATATTGTATTTGTGACTTTAGGCCAGTCAACTGCCGTACATCCAGAGAAAACACAGTGGGAGCACTTGTAGGTCACAGTTAAGTCCAATCGTCTTTAATACTCTCTACCATGGGACAATCAATAAAATATGGAAGGAAATAAACAACAACTATCTTTTTAGTCTTTCTCTGTCAGGAGAGATTGGTCACTTTTATTTTCCTGATGCAAAGGGTGGAATTCCACCTGTTGTTGTCAAAGTGAAGAGTGCATCTTGTCTTCCAAATGGTCCTTTTGACAAGAGCAGTCATCCAGTTGAGGCTATAGTTATTATAATCGGTTACAGGAAGGTCAGCATGATAAATGATGTTATTCCAGGACATGGTAATATTGAAGATGTTGTGTAGCCACGTCCATATTTTGTTGGCAGTGGAGCACTCGTAGAAAAGATAGTAGGTACTCTTGTCTTTGTTACATCTTGGGCACCTGGCACTCCTGAGATGATGATATTTATGAAGAAATTCCTTCATCATGGTGACGTTTATTATACGCCAAGTGGTCTCTTTCCACTCTGCAGGCAATGTAAGCCTACCTACATTGATCCAGCATTCCTTCCAGTTGGTCGTATTATCCCTTAGGTTGGGGTTAGGGCTTTGAACAAATATGCCTTTGTAAATAATACATGGTTTTATATTCTCCTTTATAATGTTGGCAGACAGAAGGTTGTTGACAGTGGATCTCCACATGCTGTATTGTTTATTATTGTCCAGCAGAAAAGGTTTATTTGAGGGGTTCTTTGTGATGCATCTTGTAATGGGTCCCAGGATGTATTCTGCCAGATCGCAAAGAGGATGTTGTTAAAGGTGAATCAAGTTTAGAAGGATAGATAGTTGCAAGGACTGTTCAAGGGATTTTATATCCCAAATATGCCACCCACCTTGGTTTTCCTCATTCTTCATTATTTTTCTGCTTAGCGGTTCAAATTCTTTTTGCCATATGTAGTTAAATATTAGCTTCTCGATGGCATTTATGTCGGTAGTATAGAGGTTGTACATGATTTTTGCAGAAAGTACCTTGTTTGATATAATGACTCGTTCTGGCATATATAGCCAAATCTTCAAATGGCATCTGTTATTTTGTTTTTCATTTCTTTTATATTGTTTTTATTTTTATCTTTCCCATACCAAATGCCCAGGATTTTTTTACTATTGCTTTCAAGGTTGCTATGGCCAACTATTTTGACAATGTTGCTTTTGTTCCTATTTATTTTCATGCCAGTCAAGTTGCTGAAGGTGTTAAGTTTTGAGGTAACTTTGTTAAGAGAGACATTATCGTTTATGAAGAAATTTATGTCGTCAGCATGAGCGACGTATTTAATTTGACTACACATTCCTGGGAGGTATATTGGGGTGATTAGTTTGTCACTGTTGATCATGTTTAGGAGGCCTTCCATATATATTGTGAAGAGAATCATGGAGCATGGGCATCCTTGCCTTACTCCTGCCTCACATTTGATGTACTCAGAATTCTTGTTGTTTATAACAATTTTAGTTCTGGGTTGGTAGTAAAGGTATTTTATTCTATTGATTTCTTCTTCATTGAGGCCATATTTGGCTAGTATTTTCCATAGAACCTCTCTGTTGACGGTATCAAAAGCTTTCTCCACATCTATTGTGAGAATAGAGAGCGGAGTATTTCTTTTTAAGTGTATATCTTGAATTAGGTGTAAAAACATTGTGTTGTTCTGTATTGTTCTTTCTTTAATGCCAGCCGTCTGCGTTTTACTTATGTGATCGTGAAAGATGCCCTCTAATCTGGTGGCTATGATGATACTATAGACCTTATAATCCGTGTTTAGGATAATAATTGGTCTATAGTCTCCTACCTGACCAGTGTCATTTCCTTTTTTGTTAATGAGCTTCATTCTTCCTACACAGAAGTCCGGGTTGTATGTCTCATCGTTGTATAGCTTGGGTAGGATCTCTGCAAGGAGCTCATCAGTATCAGGAGCTTTTCTTATGTGTAGTTCTTCGATAGCTTTGCTTACTTCTTCTTTTGTTATATCTTTACTGATTATATTTTCATTATCTTTCTTTACAGGTTTAATATCTTTGCTAATTTCCTCCCATGAGTCCCAGTTTGTGTTGGGTTTCTTGTATAGTTTTTTGTAGAAATTATGAAATTCTGCTAAGATTTCAGACTCATTTTCCATTTGATTACCGTTAATGGTTAGGCTGTTGAGGATTGATGACTCTCTTGGTTTGGGCTTTCTTTTGAATATAATTCTCTCCGTAAATCTCTCAATGCCAAGTATGTTCATCTTGTACATCATATATTTTTCCTGGATCTTATTCTCAACTTCATTACTGATTTCGTTTTCGGCTCTTGTTGCTGCCTCCTTGTTATTGTTGGTGATATTTCGGCTAAAGGCTCTTTGTAGTTGTTTGATCTTATTGAAGTTTTTACTTTTATTCCTTAACCATGCTTTATTGGTTATTTCGATGATTTTCTTTTTCGTTGCTATCAAGGATGTTTTTAACTTCTAGTTGATATGTGGCATCAGAGAGAATGTTGTTGTTTATTTTGACCCTGTTCAACTTTCTTAATTTGGTGTTGAGGCTGATGTTCAGGCTGATGAGTTTGTGATCTGATAGTCTTTTGCCGTGGTTGTAGATGTAGTTCGTGACAATGTCCTCAGCTTTACCCGTATCTTTACTGATGTAGATCCTGTCCAGCCTCTCCTGTATACCTTTGCTCTCCCAAGTGAAGCCTTCAGCTTGAGGGTAGATTGACCGGTAGGCATCTTTAAGCTCAAAGCTTTCAATTAGATCTTTGAGGATGGCACAGGAGCCATCAAGGTGTAGACTGGTATTTTTATATTATTGGGGGTGACTTTAACTGTGTTCTGAGCCAAAAAGATAATCTCCCCCCCAATGATGTAATTGGGGAGGTTACTGAAGAGAGCTTTGCACTCGGCAAGTTGGGGAGGAGCATAAATGTTTATCATCCTCATAAGCTTTTTATTAATGTTAATATCTACAGTGAGGATTCTGCCATTCGTATCCGTCCTAAAGTAGTTTATTTTAATGTTGTTACTTATCATAGTTATTACGCCTGAGCCGCGCCTAGGTACAAAGGAAATATATATATTGTATTGAGTAAAGATCTTCCGAAGTTTCCTTACATCATGGAAATCATACATATTTGTGTCTTGAATCATGATAATGTCAGTATTGTCAGTTAGAGTCAGATTGAGCAGATATACTTGCTCAGCTTCATTGTGTAAACCCGATATGTTTAAGGATTTAATATTAATTTTGTTGGGTCTGAATGTTACTATTTGATTGTGCATTTAATCTTTTGCTCTTTCTTATCTTTTTTTTGTCGGCTACTGTTATTACGTTTTCAACCTTCTCTATTAACTCATCCTTGGTTAAACTCGCATCCAAACTTATGGATAATATCTTTTCTCTTACAGCCACCACATTCTTATTCTATTCTGTCTTCCAGACTTTCGTTTCTATTATTGTCTTTGTTTTCTATTTTTTCAGTTAAGCTT